AAGGCAGTGTCGAGGTCAAGGAGCTGAGTTTTGTTCCTTCCCTTAGATTTCGGCGGTCGCTTCAGCCTCTTGGAAACAGGTGTCGAAGTGGTGGCGCCCGCAGAGGTAGGCTTGCTCTCAATGAACTGCCATCGTCGCTTGCTCAGTGCGCCTTTGGTCGCGCCATCTCCGGGATCTGCGGAAGACTTTCGCGGCGCCATTGTCGCAAAGATTTGACAATACAACTGCTCGCGTTGAAGAATGGACTCAGAGCCTGGCGAATATCCCTTGGTGGGATCTAGCCAGTCGCGTGGTCTGTGCGCAGGTGAATGCAAACAGACGCGACAGCCAATGGAACGACAGGAGAAGGCCAAGCCCGGAGGCGGCAGCCTTGCGCGCCGTAGCTCCTCTGTCTATAAGAGTCTGCCCACCGTCTTCCAACTGCTCTCCTCACCACCCTCCACCTCACACCGTCTTCGGCTGTGGACTGGGAGAAGTCGAGAAGAGCTCAACCCGAGCTCAACGATATCGGAGAGTCCGACAAGGTAACTTCATCTTCACGAGAGCCCCTCGTTCACATTATTTGGAGCCGCAGGCGGGCTCCAGCCGTCCTCGCTAACAAGTCTTCTTCCACTCTTTTCATACAGCTTGTCCAATACTTCCTGATACCTCGGCTCACAAGCGTTAAGGATTGGGGTGGAGACGTTGACGGACGCTTACGACCCTGGTCTCACGAGGTGTCGTTGCGCTGACGAGCATTATGTGTCGGCACCTCAACGCTCAAATTCGATCTGTGGTTTTTGCAGTGCTACCTACGATCGACGGAACGGCGACATCCATGCACCTTCTCCACACTCCGCCAAAGGGAAGTGCGATTTCGCGTCTACCCTTTGCCCGTTTGTGGTCTCGCCGGGAGGTGGTGAGCAACGGTATCCTTCGGGATTGCTCATCTCACACGGCAGGAAGCAGGCGGAGCTCGTCTCCAGCAATGGACTCCGGTCCAGCTTCTGAGTGACAGGTACCTACGGGAAACCGGCTCGTCGAGTGGATAGTTGAAGATGCGGGAACGTGAGCCCGGTTACCACAACGAAGGTCTCGAGACCTAAGGTAGAGGCTTATTGGGGCCTTTACTGACGATCGAACGGCGGAACCAACACCCACCTTTTTTTCGTTGACATTGCTGCTTCATGCAGTCTGTTGAAGAAGAGACAGTGGATTGATACGAAGGGATTGAAGCAGAACTGAAAAACGCGCATCTTATTACGACTATGTGCAGTCGCAGCAATCATATAAGTGTGAGAGTTGAGATGATGTCGGCAGCTCATTGTTCAGCTGAGCCGTTACGTCACCCACTAACCGCATAGGGATAGTGCTGCGCGTCTTCCCAGCCCAGCACTGGAGGACACCATGAGCATCAAGCGCTTGATACGTGTACTCTACTCTCAAAAAAGTCGACAATGTCTGAAACCCGATGTGGCGATCAACATGTACGAAACCGAAAACCACGTACCCAGGACCAAGGCCCGCCCGTGCCACCAAAGACTCTCAGCACATCCATCAAACGCGCCGGAGCACCCAAACCTTTGAGCCTACATGCGCACAACAAACCACTGCCATCAGTACCTTCTTTACCGTTAGTCGCTTCAGTCACGGAAGAGCAGCAATTAAAACCATTACCAGCACCACCAAAGGACTCCACATTGCGATTGACCTTACTCTGGGTCGCAGCCTTCTGTGTGTGGTTTATCCTAATCGTGGTATTACTACCCGTAATCACAGAGAAGGACGCAATGCCCGGTTTCAACAATTGGCTTCGTACTTTACTATGAACAAAGCTACGTGGTCAGGGTAGCCTTACAGAAACCTCCATGACCACACATGAAAGGTCTACAACTTCGACTCCGCCTTGGTAGCATCCACCAAACTCTTCCTCCCCCCAAACCCAAACAAATACGCAGCAACCTTCCGCATCTGAATCTCCTCACTACCCTCAGTAATCCTATACCGGCGATGGTGTCTCCAGATATGCTCAAACGGATAATGCCTCGAGTACCCATTCCCGCCATGGACCTGGATCGCGCGATCCGCCGCCTGCGTACACAGTCTATTCGCGTAGTAATTACACATGGACACCTTATCGCCAATCTTCTTCTCAATCTCATTGTGCGGCATGGAGTCCATCTCCAGCGCCGTCTTCCGGATCAGCTGTCGCAGCATCTCGCACTGCGTGGCGAGTTCGACGAGCGGGAACTGGATGCCCTGGTTGTGCGAGAGCGAGGTTCCGAAGGGTGCGCGCTCGTTGGCGTATTCGACGGATTGTTGGACGCAGTATACGGCGGCGCCGAGCGAGGATGCGGCTTGGCGGATGCGGTTCTCGTGGACGAAGGCTTGGGCGACGCCGAGGCCGTTGTGGATGGGGCCTAGCGCGGCGGTCTCGGGGACCCAGACGTCTTTGATTGAGACGGTGGCGTGGTCGGTGGGCATGTTCAGTGTCCTGGGCGTTGTTAGCATGTAAGCTCCAGCGCTGTGGGGCCAAAGACGTACCACTCATACGACTCTGCCTTGAGCCCTGGCGTCTCTACCGGTACGACGAAGCACGAGATACCCTTGATCTCGCCGTCCTTCCCTGACGTCCTCGCAAAGACCGAGCAGTGTGTAGCGTGATGCATGCCAGTCTGCCACCGCTTGTATCCATTCAACACCCATCCCTTCACACCATCTCTCGTCTCCGGCCGCCCCTTTGTCGCCATGTGTGTCGCATCCGAACCATGACCGGGCTCCGTCAAGCCGAACGTCATCCTGAACTTGCCCTGCAGCCGCAGCGGTATGAAGTCCTTCTTCTGCTGCTCGTTGCCAAAGTTCATGAGCATGATGACGTCGGGGAAGTTGCCTACCATCGAATGCTCTGTCTGCAAGTCGTTGAACAGGCCCAGTCCCTTCGCGGCGAGATGCTCTCGGATGACAGCCATCCAGAGGTTGCTCCCTCGTCCATCGGCACTGTTCTGGCCGCCGTATTGCTTTGGAAGCGACAGTCTGTAGAAGCCGGCTTCATCCGCCAGTCTCCTCGACTCTGCCAATAGCTCCTCCCATTCCTTGCGCGGCAGGCCGCCGTTGTCCCAATCGGTTCGAGCGTGCTCGCGGCGGTGATCGAAGAAGCGGTTGTTGTCGTCTTTGTGTTGGAGCGGGGTGATCTTCTCGTCGATGAACTTGTCTAGATCGGCGAGATATTGCTTCAGATCATCGGGGATCGAGAAGTTCATCGTGTGCGACAGCGACATCGTGGGGGTCTCTTGATGGGTGTGGTGCGTGGGAGACAATAGGGCTGGTGTCAGCGATCTGGGTATTTCTCAATTGCGAACGTCAAGCTAGAAGCTCGCGGTATAAGGGCAAGCTTCGGGACGCGCATCTTGATGACTCGCTTGCTCTCAGTCGTGGAGTTGCTGTTCCAGGAGCGCTGCTTTGCGGGGAAAGAAGCACAGGCCAGGCGGAGGTGACCTCGGCCTTAGCGGGCGCGCCTCCAGCCTTCCCTCAACATGCGAGTAACGCGCGCACGACATCTCTACCAATGAACAATTTGTTCAGTCGCCATGGTCGCGCTGTCAGCATGGTAGACCTGCAAAGCTGGACCGTCGACAGTTCGCATAATCCGACACGCCATAGCTAAGTCCAGGAGGCGAAGAAACTGGTTCATACTGAGCTGCATTTAGTAGCCATACTATATCTACCCGCACACAGTATCTTTTGGTTGTATGTAGCGCACACTGAACTGCATAAAATATCTTCTTGGTACATTATGCTGCTACATATTCATCATGGTTCAGACTGGTATTCTCCACTTATCGCACTATCGCTACCAACGTATGGGCTTCGGCAGCGGTCTACAAATACAAAAAGTGCCTCTCGATACTAACATATCTCTTTCTCTTTTATCTTGCATCGCCACTCACCCTGTCATGGACTCTCAAATTCCCGAGGAGAACGTTGCAGTGGGCACGGATGTGATTCTTGACGCATCTGCTGATTCAGCTACTATCTATGCCTCCTGGCCCCACGAAGACGGAGAAACCGACACACGGGAGACATTCACCTCTCCACACCATCCTAGGGCCATCAAAACGAGAACGAGCATAGTTTTACTAGAGTGCAAAAGATACATAAACGGCTTCCCAGGAAAGGATAGTAAGGGGCCTAACAACGCATTCCACATGCGTATCATTGGATTTATTCTCGGTGACGTTCTGACAACGGAGGAAAACATCGACCGCATTTACCGCATGGTCATGTATCGCAACAACTTAGCAAGGCTAGCTATGCATCTGCTGGACATTGCCAATATTCATCGGCCTAAGGGAAAAGACATTTTCGACTTTGATCCAGACCTCTTCGAGCACCGGATGATGCCAGTGACCCGGTCTAGATGGCTCACTGCATGGCTGCAATTCATTACCGGATTGCTTCCCCTTCCTGTCCAGGATAGAGAAGAATCACAGGGCCCTTCGTGGCGAAAGCCACGTCGGTACATCGCTGCAGCTATAGCCCTTGATTGCTCTATCAAACATGAAGCAGATATAGAGGGTGTTGTGGAGCGTATGAGGAATTGTACGTATCTATGGCCATACCACTCTCGAAGTGATACTGACGACAGCATATAGGGTACGAGGACTATCTCAGGCACGCCAAGCCACACTTAAATCTAGATGGGGGGCAAGGCTGAGTGGAAAAGCTCAGCATCAGAGCCTGCGCAAATGGACCTTATATCCTTCCTTCGAGAAAGGCGCTACGAGGGCGAAGCATCAAGCCAACGTGTAATAGCCAGCACTTGGGACTGCCGAGTAACACCTACGGAGACACTTTGCGCATCGCTTGGGCAACGAAAAGCTTCCCCTGCATGTACGCACGCGCTTCGGTAACTACATTGTAACAACATACAAGGCATCATATAATACCAGGCTCATGTTTCAGATCAACGAGATAATCAACATAGTCGTCTCGTAGACCCCTACTACCCCGCACGTCAACACTCAAACCTTCCGAAAGCCCTTGTACCACCGCCTCTTCACACCATTCTGCTCCGACGCCAGCTCATCCTCCGCCCGAATCTGTTCGTAATCATCCGAAGAAACCGTCGCAAAAGACTCAGCCGATGAGTTCTCCTGCGACGTTCCCACGCCTGCGCTACCCCTACCAGTCCTTTCACCCGTGGCATTGAGTACCTGGAGAAGCTCCGCTTCTGCCTCATCTTGCGTCCTTCCACCTAGTTCCTCCGGCTTTGGCTTAGATCCGGCTCCACCCTTGATTCCCCCTTTCCCCTTCCCAATCCTGCCCACATCCAACCCCACTGGCACAGCGCTTTGCCGCTCGAACGCTTTCTTCTTCGGCGATGGAGCAGGCAGATCCTGAAACGGCTTCAGACCTGCGATCGCCTTTGTCAACGTCTCAATCTCGTCTTCTTGAGCATTGTTCTCACTATACACACTGCTCCCCACAGCCTCCTCCTCCTCCTTCTCCATCTTCACAGCCGGATCATCCATAACACAACCCCCCTCCCACTCATCCACTCCCGCCACTTTCATACCCGGAACAAACTCGGACGCATGCCGCTTCTCTTCCCGCGACGTGACTCTAGGAATACACCGGCTTTCCGAGTCGCTTATCCGCTTGACCAACTCGCGGGGGATATGTTGTTCGCTATCATCGACAGCCTTGTCTTCTTGGATCTCGCCCTCGAGTTTCGCAAGCGCTTTTGCTTGTTCTTCTGCGCGGAGGGCGAGGACGCGGTCGAGCGTGGGTGTGCGATCGACACTTCGTCGCTTGTTTGCTTTGCTCAGCGGAGACGGTGCTTCGTTGATCGCGGAAAGAGGGGTGGTGTATTGGGTTGGAGTTTCTGCACTCTTCCCAAACGAAGCTGTCCTAGACTTGGCCAGCTTCCCCGATATTGGCGGGTTCTCGAAGTTGAATCTAGGTAGAATTGGCGGAAGAGGCGCGCTCTTCCTCTTTACTAGTGTTGTCTTTGGCTCATGTTCTGGTAGCGATTGTAATGGCTGGTCTGCCTTGATGCTTCCACGCTTCTCTGTTGCTAGCTTGATCGATGTGTCCTGGCGCATCTTCTGATTCACGTCTTTCGTTCCGAGGAAGTTGTATTTATCTGGACTCCGCAGGTCGGTGTGGTTCCGTGGGTCTGCGGCGTCGAAGTAGGGTGTGAAATCCCTCCTATTGGCTTTGTTGTCTTTGGTAGCGGTCTTAGATGTGTTCTTTGGTGGGCTAGATGTTGGATGGGTTGCTTGATGTTGTGCATACGGTCCACCGCCAACGATTTCAGCATACGGATTATGCCACTGATGTTGCCCATACGTTTGAAGACCCGCAACTTGGTCCTGCTGTTGCTGGTCATGCGTAGTTCCAGTCTTCTCACCACCAAAGCCCTTCGCGTATGCTCGATCTAGATTCCGCGGTGTGGCGTTGGAGACATCGTGGATTGCGCCGCTTGCATCGTCCCAGTATGGCATTGTCTGCGTATCATATTGGAACGGATCGCTATTCCGCTGCTGCGGATTCCGAATCGACCCAGTATGCTGACTTTGAGGTTGCAAGATCTGCGGGGCGGGGTTTGGATCACTTGATGTTTGGACGTGGCCGCGTCGGTGTGGGTATCGGTTCTTTGGTCCGCGAGGCGGGTTCCAGTTTGGGTCTGGCTGTGTCATTTTTTGGGGGTTTGGAAGGGTATCTAGGGTGCGTGGGTTGAGGGGAGTCAAGTACAGTGGTTTCACAATGTAAGGGTAAGTGGTTTTTTGACTTGCTTGCAGGAGGTGGTTCGTAGAGTGTGGTGTACGAAAGAGGAATGAGGTTCTGCGGCGAGGTAGACGGATGTGCACGCCGTATGTGAGTATTGTGTGAGTGAATGAATGGGGGTTGTTGTGCGCTGTGTTGGCCGCCTGTTGCTCTGGTGATTTGGTCACTGATGAAAGCTAGTGTTGGAGAATGTGCGCTGGTCTTGAAGCCAGAAGAAGTCACGTCATAAGATCGGAAGTCAGCGCCGCAGAAGGCCATCAATAGTACCACCTAGCTGTTCTTCTAGTGATCACTTCAGCAATCATCCTGTCATACCGGTCAATCGCATTTACAACAAGATCTTTCCATCAACACCCAATTACTCAGAAAAGCTTCTCTTCATGCTGCCAATGTCAACGTGGCACCTTGCCATTGAAGTCCGTCGGAATGTCTCGCTCGACCTCTTCAAAATCTTCAGTCAATTCATCCTCATACTGTACCATCTCAAAGCTCTCACCTAAACCTCGTTCTTCATCAAGCCATGTCTTCAGCCTTGTGCGTGACGCGTCCGGCAATCTCGACTCGTCAGTGGGTCCGTTCTGCGTCTCATTGGCGTTCATAGCTTGTTCGTCAAATTGTGAGTAAGTAAATACCTGGCCAAACTTATCGATACCTTGAAGGGGCTTATGTGGCCTGCGAACCTGACCAGCGTCAGTGCTCCTTGACGTCAGCGCAGTGTTGAGGCCGGAAGTGATGTCTTCCATGTCCCCGATCTTAGATTGGCGTCTTCCTGATGCATCACGTATGGGTGCGTCGTGTGTACCAAATCGAACTCCAGATGTCCGTGATCGGCGTGCTATATCTTCAGCAGTGGGCTGAGGATTGACTGGCACATTTGGCCGCAACTCTTGTGTGCCGTAGTATATCCTCGAGCGCAGGCTATGCCGATCTATTGGCGATTGGGCTACATCGGGCGCTACAGCGCTTGTGTGGGGTACGGACGCTTCTAATTCGGAAATGGGTGGGAACATGGAGAGGCGGATCAGCTGCCTGTGGCGGGCGCGAGCCGTAGCAGAAAGCGAGTCGCGCCCACTGGGAAGTGAATGATCTTGCGACATGTTGAGAAGTGAGCAAAGGTACTGTATTGCTGAGCAAGATGGAATGCGCGAATGTTTTGACTGAAGATATAAGCTCTCAAATGAATGATGCGCGGTGTTGCTGGCAGTCCTGCTCCAGCGATGTTTTGGCAAAGCTACGACACAGCCAACTCAGACAACGCGCTTGCGTAGCCATTCCATCGACATCGTCGTGCGTGACAATCGCCATCGATAGCGTGGCCCTTCCAGTGAATCTGTATTGACGCAAGTGCCACCGGCGTTGAATCTTTGCCATGATATCGCCGTGCGCTGCTGTGATGTCGCGGTTTGTGAATGTTTCCTCCAACGTAGCGCGTCTAGGGGACAATTGTGTGCCACTCAGCGCAATGGCGACCGAATTCTGCAGTGTACCTCGGTGATTCTCGAGCAAAGGTAAGGGGCGAATATGATTACTATACAGGAAGAGAGCTCATCCATCGGTCACCTCAAATGCGTGGAGAGGTGGAGACGTGTAAATTGCAGGAGCGGGTGTTGTGGCGCGCGCCACACCCAGGCAAACTGAGCGGGTCAACTTCGTCCGCGCCAGCGTAGTACTTGTTTGCTATGCTGCGCGACCCTTGGTGAGATAATCAGAACATAATCGCAAAGTTTACCTTACACATCGTGCTCATGCGTGTCTACCGGTTGCGTGGTGATGAACACCCCTAGCCCGCGAAAATCACGTGGTGCGCTAGCTAGGTACGCGAGACGCCCTATCTGATGTTTCATCCTTCCCACATCTCCGCTGTTTCCACCAACGACTCATCGTTCGCGACCCAACGCATCCTTGCGCCATACCACAACATCCTGCGAACGCTTGATCTGGCACTGAGAAGCGCTTTGATGGAAACAATGTCCGGCTTGGCGCACGCGTGGCAAGACGATTGAAACAAAGCCGCTGCCAGACGGGCACTAGCATCGTGACGCCCTTGACATTGGTTCATGCCATTACGCATTTGGCAACATGGCCGTTACGGGAAGGATCGTAACTATTATGGATACGAAGCAGGTGTATGCGGTTACAGAGCGGTAGGTATATTAGGATTTGGGCTGCTGCATGATGCGAACTGTTGTCATCCGCTACACTCATTCTCTCGATTACCTTTCGGATATCCTCTCATTTTCTCTCGTTGAATATCTTGAGCGGAATCTTCGGCTGGTCTGAGTGACGTTCTTTACTTTCTCGCCCATACTACATTTGCCTCTTTCAAACCCCTTAACAAGACTACAACATGCGTTTCGAGATTATCGCACTCCTGGCAGCAGCCGCCACCTCGTCTGCTCAATCGGTTGTTGGCACAGCTTATGGCTACGGTGCTGGCGCGACTGGTGGAGGAAAGGCTGCTGCTGTCACCCCAACGTCAAACGAGGAGCTGGAGAAGTACCTGTCCGACGACACCGAGCGCGTCATTCTTCTCACTCAGCAATTTGACTTCACTGGCAAGACCACCTCTGGTGCTGGTTGCGACAAGACCACTTGCTCAGCTAAGAGCGGCGGCGGACAGTACTACTTGGGCGACCTCTCCTGCGGTGGCTCGGATATGACGCCCGTCAGCTCCATCACCTACGACGCAGGCGCCGAAACAGCTATGAAGGTCGGATCGAACAAGTCCATTCTTGGTGTTGGCGGAAAGGGTGTGATCAAGGGCAGAGGTCTCTCCATCGCCAAGGATGCCAGCAATGTCATCATCCAGGGCGTTGAATTCACCACGATCAACCCCGGCGTCGTATGGGGTGGCGATGCCCTCGACATGCAGGGAGGAAACACCAAGATCTGGGTAGACCACTGCAAGTTCTCCCTCGTCGGCCGCATGTTCGTCGTCAGCCACTACGACGGCTCCGAGGCAACCCTTTCCAACAACGAATTCGATGGTGTCACTACCACTTCTGCTACCTGCAACGACAACCACTACTGGACAATGATGATGATTGGAAAGACTGAGAAGTTTACTCTCGACAAGAACTACTTCCACGACGTTTCTGGTCGCGCTCCCAAGCTTGGTCAGGATGGTGTCAACAGCTACTTCCACGCCGTCAACAACTACTTCGAGAACATGAAGGGCCATGCATTCGATGCTTATGACGGCGTCAGTGCGCTTGTTGAGGGTAACGCTTTTGTCGCCGTTGACCAACCCAACACCGAGCACGCTGCCGGTGTTACCACCTTCGTTAGCAAGGGTGGCGATGCCTGCTCATCCGTCTTCGGCCGCGCGTGTCTCGAGAACAGCGTCGACTCTTCCAGCGGCGAGCTTTCACCAGGCTCATCCTCCGGCTTCATTGCAAAGCTTGGAAAGATCGACGTTCCCGAGCCGATGGAAGCCAGCAAGGTCGCCGCCTACGTCAAGGCCAATGCTGGTCCCGCAAACCTCGGTGCTTCGTCTTCATCTGCCCCCGCTGCGGAAAAGGTCGTCGATGCTGATGCCCCAGCCAAGGTTACCGAGCCTACCGTTGCCACTAGCAGCGCTACCAAGCCCAAGCCCGCGGCTACCACCACCGCGGCTGCTGCGCCAGCGCCTGCTGCTCCTACTGGTTCTGGATCCTCTGCCGGTGCTGCCAAACTCTACGCTCAGTGCGGTGGTCAGGGCTTCACTGGCCCTACTGAGTGCGAGGCTCCTGCTACATGTGTGAAGAGCAATGACTGGTACTCTCAGTGCATCAACAGCTCTTCCAAGTTCCGTCGCGCGCTTGGACGCTACTTTTAAGCGTTGAACGCATCGATAATATGGAAGACGAATGGGCAATAATACTGCGAATGGGAGACGATGTCAGGGTCTGAAAGAGACGATTCTTGTGTAAATACTTCTATGCCAATTCATTTGGCGTGCACGCCGTGTATATTCCAGTTCGATACAGTGCCATAGATGTAGTAAATTCTCATCGCTGTGTCGATCCTCCTAAGCTTTGCGCAGTTTTGTTGTCGATAATCTTCAAATGCGACACCACAAGTCATCTCTACCTTCCAAACGCCACGCTATGCAATGTGTACAAAGGAAAACCCACTGCCGAGCAGACCAATATGCCTCCAATTATGCTCCGCTACTCAATACGTAAGCTAGTAACCCCATCACTCTTGTCTCCGGCATCGTAGGAACTCAGCGGTTCCTAACGCTGCATTTTCGTGATTGTGCTTGCCATCGCCCTGCGACAGCCCGTTTCGTCCATCATTAGGGCTTCTCGACACTTCCATCTTGCTCGAGACTGATTTGCGCGTCGCTGGTCGTTGCTTTCGTAGCTTCGGCCACGATTCGCAAGACTGCAAACTTGCGTACCGTGCTTTCTGAACTGGCCGGTAGCTGTGGCTCCACAGCCGGTTCTGCTATTGGCTGGTATTCCTGTAAGCGCCTTGCAGCTGGCTTGAAGGACTTCTTCTTCGACTGCTTTCCACTTCCCTCCCGGCTATGGTCGTTCTTATCGCCTATCCGTTTCATCCAGTTCGTGTTAAAGACTGGGCGGTGCTGTTCATTCACCTCCGGATCGCGTACACGCGCTTCCAGGTTTGGATACTCCTTCAGCATAGCCAGCATATCTTCATCAATTCCCGATACTTCTCGACCTTCGCTATCAGCCTCAAACTCGCGGAGCCGTTGGCCAACAGCCTTGATCGCGGCGTAGGTGTACCGGCTATTCTTGCCGAGGCAGTTCCAAAGCGTCTCCAACTCTACAGCAAAGATTGGTCGAGCGAGATGGCACTCGGGGATATAATGATCTACTCTTAATGCATCTTTGTGGAGATCGAAGAGCTCCATCGTGCGAGCCAAGGAGCATGCGACAAACGTGTTCTTTGGGACGCGGATCTG